GTGTTCTAGAGAGGTTGCTGTGTGCTCTGAGTTTGCTGTAATGTGTTGAGTCAATCCTCATGACTGAAGTTTGGTGTCTGTGTCAGGTGTATAGGCTATGATATAAGCGAGAACCTGAAGCTGGCTTGTACTCAGACGTTTTCCTGGAGTAACATAGTGAGGATGAAATTAATTTCTTCTGCTGTCCTGTTCTAGGCTTGCAAGTTTCTCCCCTTTTCTGCAATGGATAGGAATATCTGAATGTTTCTATAAACTTTCAGATAGCTTGCACCTGATGTTTCTTTTTGACTAAAACACCTGCAGGCAGTTCCTCCAGGAGGAGGTACTGTGCATTAATGTCCATAGGCAGTAGATCTCTAATGAACATCCAGGTATTGTCTGAAAAATAATGATGCCAAAACATCCCACATCCTGGTTGGTCAATAATTCCTGACTCAGTGGTGCTGCCCTGCATGCTGGGAGAGGGAATAGACAGTTGGAGTGGTGATTTCTGCCAGAGGAACTTCTCGGAGCAGGCAGTGTCTGTGGTACTTGAGATTTCTACCTAATCCTGGCCTTGTGTTTATTTGGGATCATAACACCTGCCCTGCAGCAAGTTTGATGAGCGTGCCTGGAAGTGTCATGGAGATGGGTGTGCTGAACTGCTGCCACTTCCGTGCCCTGTGCAGCTCGCCAAGTACAGGCTTCAGGGCTCCTGGCCCTGTCACCCTCGCCACTGCCTGGGCTGGGTGGGCATGTTCATTTAGCCCTGCAGTGGGTGACTGCTTTTCAAAAACAGGCACACAGGAGTAAGCTTTTATGGGACAATGCCAGTTTGACAGCTCAGCCATGACTCGGAGCATCCTACCCGCAAGACAGCTGTGTCCTAGTTCAGTGTCGTTCTATACAGGACATGTAGGAGAGCAAAGTGGGCTTTGTCTGGTTCCAGGTGCCCTCTGATACAGAGGAGGAGCTGGCAGGAAGCACAAACACAGATATGTTCAGATTTCCTTCATCATGAAAGCATCTCTGTGGTCTGTTTAGCTCCTCTGCAGTAGCTGTCTCTCCCCATCCGCTCCTCGGGTCACCTCGAGGACAAATGTGAAGTTGGAGAAGCCCAGTTTGCCATGTGTAAAACTTAGTGAATTGCCTCCTTGAACAGAATGAAGCCTCGGGCTTGCTTTTCTAGGAAAATGGCCCAAAATAGCTATTCCTTTCTGCCTGGAAAACACAATTTACCCTGACAAAACGCTTAGGCAAAGATGAGCTGCCACCTGCTGGCTCCGTAAGGCTTTGGGCTGGGGGTTGTTTGCTGGTTCCCTGGGCAGGAGAACCTGGATCCTGTGCCCTACCCCAGGCTGGAGTTTTGGGAGGTTCAGATGGGTTTTTGAGAGCTTTCTGCTAAGAGAAGCAGCATTGAGCTGTTCAGCAGAGTTATCATAAGGCATTAGAAAAATATCCTTAGGAACCTTCTGGGACTATGGTAATAGTTATATTTACTAATTTTTCTCCTAGCTTTGGTAAGTAAAGATAGCTCTTTCAAGTGCAGCACATTCTTTATAAACAGTTCTGTATAATCTGGAAAATAAAATTGTTGCCATCGTTGGGGTTCCCTGGGGAAATGCTCAGATTAGGCTTCTCCAAGGAGCTGGGATGGTCTGGGGCCCTCAGTGGTGCAGGAATGCTGCCAGCCCTGTGGACCCCACTGCTCTGGGCTGGGTTCACGCAGAGGCTGGGGGGAAGGAGGCCTGGGAGGAACAAATGAGATTAAAGTGAATGTGCTGGCCAAAACCATCTTGGTTTGTTTTTCGTGATGTTGCTTCTATTTTAAAATCCAAGTCACGGAAACCATTTGCAGTGGACTTTAACAACACTGGAGTTTCCTGTGGGCAAGTTGTTTCTAAAGAGTTTCTCCTGTTTGGGTCCCAAGAAATTGTGTTCTTAAATATAATAGAAATTGGGGGATAAGAGGGGGAGTTTTTTAAAGAAAAAATGGAAGCTTGCTATTTTTAGAATCTTTTGGTTTTTAGAAGTATACTTTTAGAGAGGAGAGGAGAAAACAAAAATATTTTAACTTGTAGATGAGAGGTGTGTCGAAGTTGCTTGACAGTCTTTCGGGGGATGATTCAGATAATTATAAAATGGCCTTAAGTAAAGTTACTGCTGTTTTCTCATTTCTTTAGTCCTTCATTGATTTCTCAGGTAAAGGAATAACAATAAGATTTTTGTCTCTGTCCAGTAGAATTTCTTCATTTTTAGTTTTTCAGTTTGTCTTCTGCATAATAAACAGAGAATTGAAATTGGATGGACTGGAAGTGATGGCTTCGTTTCCATTTCCTTAAATGTTTATGTGACTATGAAGTTGCTAAAGAACTTCCCCTTATATTTATATATCTGAAAAAGCCCTTTGGACTTTTAACATATGTAATGTTTTCATGGTAAAGCTAGGAAGGATACTTAGAAGAAAACTAGCTTGCTCATCAAAGAAGGGCAAAGTATTTGCAAAGCCAAAATTGATGGTTACAATTTTGCCTGTGATTTTGCAGTAAGATCACACACAAAATATATATAATGTGCCACAAATATTCACAGGCTGAGTAACTGCACTGTCTAAAAATTTGTAGTTTTTCCCTCATGTCTTTGTGCAGAACTGCTGCAGGGAGTGGTGGAAAACAGATAGAGTACCAAGTGTGTTTAATGTGAGATGAGGGGCTTATTTGATTAGATAAGGGCTTCAGCTGGCCTCTATGCCCTTTTATGCAATGAGAATTCCTAACACCATGTTTTAAAACCTGATTTTTAGCATGTTATATGCTAGTGTTTTATATGCTGTGATTTCTTTTGTAGGGAATATTTCTGAAAGTCATTCCAAGCTATCTCTGTGTAGTACAGACGTGCTAATCAATGCTGCCATCATAAAGTTCTAAAGGTTTGTCACATTAAGTGTGCTTTCATATTAAAAACAAACAAACAAACAAACCACTACCTTTGATAGATATTAAAAAACATGTCCAAATCATAAATTTATATTTGCCAGGCCGCATGTGGTTCTCTTCCTCCTGATGAAGTGAAGACTCAGCTACAGAGACATAAGGCTTTTTGTTCTGCTTCTTTATTTTTCATTTTGTGTGTGTGTGTGTGTGTGCCTGAACGCTGTAGTTGAGGATTTGAAATGGCTTCTTTGGTCATATTATAGAAACAAGTGAGACCAAGGGCTGTGACCTGAACATTAATTAATGTATTACAAAGGATGAGTAGTTTTCCCATATGAAACGTACCAGTGCAGTAAATAAAAGGTAATTAATTCTGGATGGCAGCATTTTACAGCAATTAATGGAGAGGAAATACAGCCTACGTGAAGATAATGTATGGTTACGCAGTGCTGCTCTCTGTCAGAGTAAGGGCAGCATTATTCTGCAGCCTGCTAACCATTCTGCTCCTTGTAATTACCTCTTAAAACTACGCCTTTTAATATTTGAATGCAAATGGACATGCAGAAATGTGGTAAATAGCAGAGTCTTGATGTAGGACTCAGACAGTGCAGCCTGGTCACAAACAATGCTGTATAATCGGCTGCAGGAAATGTTTTCTCATATGATAGTGTGTAATGGCTTGAACTGTCAGGAAGGGCAAAACATTAAGGCTCTAGGAATGAGTAGTTCTCATGCAGATTGTGTGGCATCTGCTGTCATCAGTTAATTGTCCATCAGCTACTGTGCACCTGGAGAAACAAATACAACTAGACTATGGAAAAAACTGTGGGAGGTGGCTCTCTCGGCCACAGAGACACTCCTTAGTTACTTTTGGAACTTAGAAAAACACAGGCGTGCTGCTCTCTTCATTTTCTGCAGCCACCAAACTCAGATGCTCCTACCTCTGCAGCCTCTTGCAAAAGGTCCAGGCTCCTTCAACATGATTTGGTTTAGTTTGGAGGAAGCCAGGTGGTGTTCTTTTGATGTAATTTACCATGAAATTGGGAATTCCTCCTGGTTTTTGTTATATTCAAGATAACTCTGCCTAAGGTGGTAGTTCAGCGTTGGAATTGTGTTCCATCAATGTCAGCTGTAGTTTACAAGCAAGATCTAGTATTTATATCAACAATATTTTTTTAAAAGAAGACATGCTGAAAATAGCTGTAAATATATTCTCCATTCAGGTGTAGATGTTTTTAGGGACTGAAAATTTACCGTTCTTGCAATGGCAATTGTTAAAACCAGATTTACTTTACAGGTACACTTGCTTGACTGAATGGTGTGGATGAAGCTTTATGTGCTCATGTCTGTTTAGTGTCTCTGAATTAAAATGTAACTGTGGCAGCCCGGGAGACCTTTCTTGGTGTAAACAGCTGAGGAGAAGGAATCCTGTAAGCAGAATTCCATGGTATAGTGTGTATGTATATACAGTCCTTCTTTTTGCTTTACTTAAGAGGCAATAACTACATTGATCTGTTTTTGAAGGACACTGTAAGTGCAGGTTTGAAGTAATGCAGTTGTGTATGTGGTGTGAGCATCTGACCTGGAATGGGGCTACTGCAGAAGAAATAACATTTGCTGTGTGTCTGGTCTGTGTTGAGTGTTTCTATAGAGCCAAGAAAGGATTTAAGGAGATTGATGAGCCTGAATGTATGGATTTAGCTTTTGCTCCCCAAATACCTTATGGACTCTCTTGCTTACCTACAGAGAGTCATTCAAGTTACCTTTCTTTGTCTGTGTGCTCAATCAACTTGAAGCAGGAATTTGGCTGAACAAAATGAGAATCCTGTAACTTCTTTCAGAAAAGTGAGAGGAAACAACTTGTCTGCTTCAACACTGCTGTGATTAACCGTTTCTTTCCCAAGACAAATGCTCAAAAATTCTGAGTGTTAGAAAAAAGGTTCCCTGCACTCTTCTTGTCCATGAGAAGTGCTATATAGACTGTACATCTTTTGAAGGACCCTGATTATTTCCTCCAAGTGTAATATTTAGAGAGCAGTTACATAGTCTGTTCTTTATTTTAAAATAAAAAAAAAATTAATTTTTTTTGTTGGATTGACTGGAGTGCTGCTACTTAGGAGCTGTATTTCCTATGCGTTTCATCAGGGTATTTTGATTTTCCTTGTACAGAACAGAATGTTGCTCCAATGGTAGTTCTATAATTAACTCAGAGGCAAACTTCCTCTGTTTCCTCTGTAGGTAATATGCAGGGATATGAGTCAGTAATAACCAATTAGCTTGTTTATAGTGAAGTTTTCCTTAACTGCCCTCGAACTCCAGCAGCAACGATAAATGAGGAGCATCTTAACTCTTCTTTTGGCTGAATTATCTGCAGTCAAAATAACCATCTGCATAAAAACCCCTGGTGTTAACTGGATTCATAAATACTAGGTAGAGTTGGTATCTCTTCCCTCCTACCCTCCAACCTGCCCTACTCTGTGGGAATTATGGCCTTGGAGTTCTCGTTGAGAAGACTGGGTACTGACTTTCATCTGGAAATAGATGTGGCTTAGTTACTGATGGAAAAGGGCATGGCAGGAGGGAATTCTTGTCAGTGGAGAAGCAAAGTCTACACAGCTTCCATGTGCTCCTTAGCTGTAGACTAACAGATATGACTACTGGATGAAAAGCTTTCCTTTTAGAGATGTATTTGGAGGTTGAAGATGCTTTGTAGCTGGGATACTTGCCTTAACTGTGGTTCTTTGTTTTTAAAACTTTTTTTTCATAGATCTGGTTTAAGAATTAAGACTTGGGTTTTGAAGTATTTGAGCAACTTGCTGCTGCCCAAGTCATGACGCTCCCGTTTCGAAAGGACTTGGACAAGTACAAAGATCTCGATGAGGATGAAATTCTTGGCAAACTTTCGGAAGAAGAACTGAAACAACTGGAAACTGTTTTGGATGATCTTGACCCTGAGGTAGGCATTAGCCAAGTGTTATTTTTTTAATTTGTTCCATAACTAGGGTAAAATAAGTTAAGATTTTGTACGATATACTTTTGGACAGAGTTTTTTCCTAGTCTGCTGGTGATCTTACTTACATATATATACATGTATATAATGTTTACTTCCTGTTGGCAAGGAACTGCAATAGAGGAGAATGGAAGAAGGGATAGTCAGGAGGAGCTTTCTGGGATTTATTTATAAATAAAAGTGGCTCTTTGTCATGTTCTTGAAAAGAAAGTTTATTTAAAAAGGTCTGTTTAACTTTCCTGTTTCCAATAAACAACCCTTTTTCGTCCATTTTTCTTTTACTACTTCTGCTGTTAGTTTGATGGGTGCTAACCTCTTCTGAAGATTCCTGGTCCTGTATCTGGTAGTCTGTATCTATTCCTGTCCTCATGCTGACTTTGTAAAGAGAAGGCAAATAATCACCGAGCTCCTGAATGATTATGTCAGCATGGGGTATTGGAATATTAGAGCTTTCTGCTGTAATGAGCTGAGTGGTCCTCTACTGATACTGCAGCTAATGTCAGACTCCAAGACTTGTGTTTTCACCTAGTGGTTCTCTGTTTTTCCTTTAATAGTACCAGGATTAAGTTTAATCTTGATGTTCAGGGATCAGTTAAGAATATTATGATCACCTATTTTGTTGCACTGCAGGATATTATTGATATTTTAATTGCCTTTGGCTTTAGGGGCACTTTAACAGGGGAGAACTGGCAAAAGGGATTGGTTGTCTTTTAAAACAGTGTGAATTCCTATACATTCTGTTCTTTCCTTACTAATATCCTCTTTTTTTCTCCTTAGTTGATGATGACAAAGAAATACCCCACCTTGAGTCAGGTCAAACGTAGCAATACTCTGTGTTAAATGCCAAACAATGGTAGAGTCAGTTGTCTTAAAGACTTAGAAACACATAAGTAAGTGGTAGAGGAAGTAGGCTCTTAGTGAATGTCTAAACTGGAAATAGCTGTGTTTTATTTACTACTACTCATTTGAACAGTGCTCATTCTAGAAACGAAATTAAAAGTAACTAGCAAATCAAGTGCTGGGAGCTGTTGTACTTAAAGAATCGCTTCAGTCCTACTCAGAGGGCAGTGTGCTGTATTTTACATTTCATTCTCTGTGTCTGAAGAACAGGTTACTTTGTGTCCTCCCTTGCCCCAAAAAAGGAAGTTGGCAAGGGATCAAAACCTGAAAAGGATGATGTCTCAGGTTTGAACCTTGCAGACAGGGAGAAGGAAGACGGAAGTGAAACTAAGCAGGTGTTCCCCCAGACTTTCTAAGCTGTTCCTGTTTGCTCCATTTGTTCGGCAGAACGCTCTGCTGCCCGCGGGCTTCCGGCAGAAGGACCAGACTGCAAAAAAGGCCTCGGGTCCCTTCGACCGGGAGCGGCTCCTGGCGTACTTGGAGAAGCAGGCGCTCGAGCACAAGGACAGGGAGGACTATGTGCCTTTTACAAGAGAAAAGAAAGGTAACACCACCCTTTCCGGTGCAAGTGGTTATGAAATCCGTGAAGTGGACCAACCAGAACTGCTGTGAACCAAATTTTATTGGAGCATTGGCAACTCTAATGCTTTTTAACTCGTGGCGTTCCCGAGCGAGTGCTGCTGTGGAGAGGCAGGAGGCTTCCTGTTCAGGCATTTTGTGCCTCTGGAGCTGGTGTGCTGTTTGTATGTAGCAAAGGAAGGAAGTAAGACTCAAAGATTTTATCATAAGTTGCCAAGTTCTGATGGGGATGGGAACCTCAAAGTAAGAGCTAACCCTGATTTGCGTCAATAATAACAAATGTTGTCATTGTGCCCGTGGCTTGTGCCTTGTGCTAAACAACCTTTGTAATACTGTGTTAAATTAGAAAAACAGCAGTTGAGTGATGTTGTGGAAGACACTCAGTAATGTTCAAAGATGCTCTAGGCTGACAAGGCCAGACAAGTGGTATATGCAGTCGTGTTGTTTTTCTAGTGTCCTTCCTGAAGGGTTTAATAAGATTGCATAGTTAGTACTAAGTAATTACATAGTTAACATCACAAGTTTTGAAATCTGGCTGTGGTTTGTGGTCTAAAAACCATGGACATGTTATTATTTGAAATTTCTGCTTTGGATCTGATATTCTCATTGACTTGATGGGAGCATTTGCCTTTTCCAGAGAAAATTAAAAAATAATATGCATCTTAAATATTGTAAGAATAACTTCATATTTTTCCCATAAAACAAGAGTTCCCAAATCCGTTGTGCCTTACAAAGCAGTATTGGTAAGGACAGAAACTCCCAGAGCTGCGCTGGGTACATATGCACAGGAGGCGGCCTTTAGTTGTCACCACAGTGTTTGAGTGCCTGTGAATCCAGGCTTGTCTGAACCTTCCCCAGCAGCAGGGACAGATCTGCTGCACTGAGACTTCAGCAAATTGTTTGCTGAGTTGTATTCCAGCTGCCCAAGATGAACAGGCTCCTCTTTTCTTAAGGGTTTGAAACCCTTTAATTCTACTTAATTCTCTGGTGTGAATCATTGCTTATTTCAGATTTGAGTCTTCATTCATCTTCTGAGTTTGTCTATATTATAGTGGTGTATATTTGGTGAAAATTTTCTTGGGCATATTTGCATTTCCTCTGCCTGTGACAGGTAGCTTTACTTGACAATGCTGGTGTCTTTTTGCTTTTTCCTTGAAGTAATAGAGAGATTATGACTTTACAATATGCTGCACTCTGTGTATGATGTCCTACTTCCTCCATACACTGTGGTTTACCTTAGTTTGAAGTTTAACACCACTCGTGTTGAGGAGACACTCGTTTGCTGGCAGGATCTGTAAGGGTAACTGAGATAAGGATAATGCAATGTATTGGGTGCAGAAGGTGCCCACAGCAGCAGGTATGGTGCCTTATGGTTCAGGTAGGTGGTTCTCTGAAGTCAGCTTACATGCACACAGCACAAGTATTTGTTTGGGTAGATAAAATCTGTGAGAATCGAGTAGAAAAACAGAAAGGACCAGCTGTAACGTAGATCTTGGTTAAGAAAGATCAAATGTCATTTCCTTTTTGTAATAAAGTATTACTAAACTGCAGTGTGTCTGCATGTTGCAATGAGTCATACCAGTTTAGTTAGTAAAATTTCCTGTATCTCTTGGAAAAAAAAAATTGATGTTTAATAACTTTTTCCACCATTTATTTTAATACCGTAGAAGAAGAGAAAATAATGTGAAAAATTGAATGGAGCTTACTTTCATTAAAACTAAAAATGTGGAAACAAATGTTTAGTGTGGAAATTCATGCTTTGTTAAATGGGCAGAAGGCAAGAAGGCCAAGCTCATTTTGTAGTAGGTGAGGGATAATCTTTTCTTTTCCTCTCGTGGAAATATTATGGTTCAGCTTTGACTTGCTGCCACGTTTGTATCCATTTTGCATAAAAATGGCAAATCTATGTAACTTAAGCTTTACAATCAAGGAATCATTATATTTATCTAGATATAGAATTTGGAAAGGGCATGAAGTAAAACTTAATAGATGTGTAGGATATTTTTTATCTAGAGGGAACTTGCATCCCAATGTGCTTTTTCTTTAATACTAAAAGAAAAAAAATAACAAACAACTAGGCTGGATAATACTTTTTCTCTTTGGCTAGAACAATGTATTATGGAGAAATGCTAAAAACATTGTAGAATAGGGGTAGATGAAAATCTCACCTGATTCTCTTGTTAATTCAGGAGAAAACTGACAAATGCAACTTTCAGTTCCAGAGGTTTTGGGAGGACAGAGATGGATTTGAACTGCAGCTGTTTTCTTGGAGCCATTTTTTTGGGTCAGGATTTGCTAAAACATTTGTGTGCCTGGCTGATCTTGTTGCTCTAACTTGGCCTAATTATTCATTTCATGGAGTGAGGAGGGGCAAATCTATCCTCTCTCCCTATTCTATTTTAGTAGAACTGATGTCCTGCATGGTCATTTGACCTGCAGATTTATCAAAGAAGCTTATCCTGAGTTAAATTTAGCCACCCTGGCTTGCTGCTGATCCTGGTAACCTTGTTTTCCTACTGCAGTGTAAAGGGAAATTCTCTCTTCCAGGTGTCTCAAGTACCTCATTTTGGGGGAGCATGTTATTTTAGAACACTTTTGCATCTCTTTCAGTGATAGAGGATGTGATTTCTCCCAAGTCTTTGGAACCTCTCTTTTATTTTGTGCTATGAAATGTGGAAAATCTAAAATAATGTAAAGTGTCCTGCTGTAGTGAGATGAACAGTGCTAAAGTAATATTAAGTTTAACAATCCCTAAATTATATCCTATTACATTTTTCCAGTGCCTGATTTTGTTTCTGAAGGCATCAGTAAAAACTTACTTTGTTTTTAAACATGATTTAACGATTTAACTCACATTCTGTTCCAATTAAGTGTTGAACCATACAGTAAAACATTGTTCAACAGATTCATGAGAGCAGTGTGGTAATAATTGCAACAAAACCAGCTTTGTCTTAATCTGTACATGGAAGTATGTCATAAAGATTTTACAAGGCATACTGCAAGCAGAAGGATCTCTCATGCAAACAGTAAAGGCTTTAGTGCTGGAGACTGTTGCCCTTAAGTGTGTTCCACTCATCTGACCAACACTCCCCACTTCTCTGGGAGCAGCAAAAAACCTGAATTATTGCACCTGAGATAAAAACATATCTTAAGATTACTAATGTACTTTGTGCTGTATTGTGGAAGGCATTAGCAAAGTATTATGTAAACTAAGCTTTGCATTTCTAGCCTTTGCACTTTCCTAATTGTAGCCTATTCTTCCAACTTTCCCTTTTCCTGCCAGGGTATTTGTTCTGGGTAAATTTGCAGAACTCCATGATCTCAGAGGTTTTTTCCAATGTAGCTGATTCTGTGATTCTCTGATTCTGCTTTAATGCTTGGGGCTTGTTGAAGTTTGAGGGTTTTTTTTGTTTGTTTGTTTTGTTTGGATTTGTCTGTATCACCCAGAAAGTGTTGTTAGGCTCAAACTGCAGCCCCGTGGCTAGAGCTCTTTCCTTTCCACCCTGCTCAGTTGTTGCTCTGGATCACCACTGCCTTCTGTTGCAGCAGGATTTGGGAAGCTGTGTTCTCTGCTTGCCATTGAATCCCTGGTCTTTAAAGAAGTGTGTTACATGTTGTGAAGTGAAGCTAATATCCTGTGGGAGCTTTGCAGGAACAGCTTGTGGGATTGACATTCTCCATACAAGAGTGACACTCCAGCCTTAATGTAAAACAGTTTTCTCACTCACTGCTCTGTGGTTTATAGTCAGATAACAAATAACAGTTCTGTTTCTGCAGTAAGACACTGAGGAAGTCACTTGTAAGTTGAATTCAAAAAAAATTAGTATTAAATTGTGTTTACAAGTGAATTGATGAACTTAAGTCTCTCACATAGTAAGAACTGGAGATTGATGAAGTGTGGATTATGAAGTCTCCTCTGAACTGAGGAGACTTTAAGGAACATAAGATGTAAGGAATATATCAGATGTTACTTACTTTTCTTCATGAAGCCACTGATGAGAAAAACTTGTATTCAGTTGTCCTGAGGTAACACTTGATTCATTTCCGCAAATGGAGTACAGCAAAAGAGGATTTTAGACTTTCTTCTGCTGTGTAAATTGTGGCTGCTCGCTGCCTGCTGGAATGGGGGTAGGACTGTGGGATGTGTGAGAATAGTACCAGCAATATGCAGTGGTGGCCCCACTGAACAGCCCTGATTTCTGCAACATGTTGAGCCCCACCCGAGATACTGTGAGTCTGTGTGTGAAATGTCCAGAGCACTTCAACCAACAACATCCAGTGTTCCTGCCTTTTGAGCAATACAATTGTGTGGAGCTTGGAACTGCAAGTTGATTCTGTAGCAAAGAAAGCCTGTGACTTAATCCTGGGATGTGCATCATCTAACATTTTAGCTTAAAAGGCATAGAAGACCTGAATATATAGTTATTACCAAAATGATGTGAACATTTGCTTCTTTGTGTTGTGTTGCTTAATCTTCACAATATCCTCGTTGGCTGAGAAGGAGGATGTCTTGTTCCTTCATGTAATCAAATCCCTGCTACTTGGAAATGTTCCACTTGAGGGCCCGGAAAGCTGTACATCTCATGGGCTGCACAGATGTGTAGCGGTTTCTGGTTTTTTTATTTAAAGCTTGCATTACTGAGAGGAAGGGAATTGCCAAACTATCTTGGCAGCAGGCCTTGAGTTAGATCATTGTCCCCAGAGACACAGGGGTCTTACCCCTTTTGAAATAAGTTCATTACTGGAAGTGGGGAGTGGGGAAGGACCTGCTTTTGTGTGTGCATTGTAAACCTCTCAGTTCTGGGCTAGGATGACATTAAACCAATGAATGAGAGATTATGTACACAAGGGTGTGACCTGTTTTATAACAAAAACTGCTCCTGACTCAGTTCATATGACTGGGGTTGGCTGCAGTGAACATTTCTGGAGGGCAGTACCTTTTAACATTTTTGCTTTATTAAAAGCTAAATACACTTCTCACTCTCTTTAGGTTTTCTTAAGAGTCAGGCATATATGTATAAAGTTAGTCTTACTCTTAGAAAGCAAACGTTTAGAACCAGACATTCCTAACCTATGAATTTAAGCATTATTTAAAGGCAACATCAGGAAAAGTAGCTCTTTTTCTGTGAGTACTGGGTGATGAAGCAGACAGAAAGCTGATCTAGGATGAAATACATTTTTGCAAAGTTGCTTTTAACTGAGATTCATTTGCCTCTTCTGCTCTCTGCCTGCTCATATGATGCTGTGGAGAGAATGGCTGTTTCATGAGTTAATGAAAACCTTGTCAAACATTCTTGTATCTCTTCTGAAAATTACAATTTATGTTGAAAGTTATTTTCTCCTCAGTAGGTGATGCTGGTAAAATAAAATGGTAGAAACATACTGTATCAATTATATTAAAATAACCTGCAACATCTACTACTTAAGCCTTTACTTTATGAAAGTTTTCTTTTAATCCTGAATCACCAGTTTCTTTTGCACTGTCCATCAAAGCTGAGATAAGGGTGGTAATACGTGTCAGCTGCCTTCAGCTACTGTTTGGAGTCATTACAGTTACGTAAGGAGGTTTATTTTCTTCTTCTAAATATGGATAATGACCATTTACACAAGTTTCCAAAGAGATAGCAACCCAGGAACAAAAATACCTTGTTGCTAGCAACAGATCTTGATCATCAGACTGTGTTGTCAGAGAAAAACCTGATGTACTTCTCTGTAATCTGTGCTAGAGGCAATGCATTAACTTCCTTTAAAAAGAAAATAAACCACAACTATTGTACTCTAGGATGGGAACTTGGAGAGAGAGAGAAGAGGTGGATGTGTTTTGTGATGCCTGTGTCTTCTGTAGGACACAGGACCTGGTTTCAGGCATTGTTCCTCACCAGTGGTGAAACCAAAATCCCACTTCATTTCCCCTAAATAAAACTGAAACATCCCTGTAAAGCTTTGTGGCACTGGGAGGGGTTCAAAAATGCTAAACTTAGTCTTAGCCCAAGCATGTAACAAGATCAACTTGTGAGCAGCACGAGGGAAAAAATCTTAGGCTCTGCCTCCTGCCCAGGAGGTCTGATGGTGGTGCATGTAATCATGTCATTGGGATGAACTAGGGTGATTCCTGTGTGGAAGTATTTTATAACTATGGATGTGGAAGAGGGTGGGTTTGGGTTCCTGAATTGGAACTGAGACTTCATAGGAAGACCATCAGCACCACTTCCTACCCCGGGAAATAAAAAAAAGGCAGTTGGAAACCCCTTTCCCATAACTCTTTCTGCTGATAGCTCAGGCAACTTGGAAAGTCTGAAAAACTTTAATAATTGTTAAGCTTTGGTTTGCAGTTGTGGATTACTTCTATCAAATGTATCAGTACCAGAGCTTTTACTTACCATGTTTACTTGTCCAGAACCTAAGCACCCCTCGCCTCTCCAGGGCTCCTACCCAGTGGTAGATTTCTGTGTTCTGAAAGGCCAATTCTAAACCATTCACAGCTGAACTGTTGGAATATCTTGCTTGTATTCAGATTTCCTACCCTAACTTTTCAGCTGGAGATGTATGCAGGAATTATGGTAACTACACAAACCTCTACTTAAAATGCATGTCTTCTAAAATAACTTTTCTCATTACTTCCCGTAATAACTAAAAAGTTGGTGGTATTGCTATTGCTTTTTTTACCATTGAATCTTCCATGACCTTTCTAAGTATCATTTCAGGAAACAGTGTCATTGCCAGAGAAGTCTGTTATCTTGTTTTGTGCTGTTCACAAACCATGGTTTTCTCAAGCATTTGGGCATCTCTTTTTTGCTTCAGAACTGAGTTCACATCTGACATGAGAAATTATCATGTATGCTGTAAAAACTGCACTGAATATGCAGGCCTGTGATTTCTGATAATTCTTTGTTATTTTCTCTCATTCAGATTAAATTTCTGCCTGGGTCCCTCCTCCTTTGAGAGGATACTGATCACTGTTCTCTAGGGATACTCAATCTTTTTAGACACTTTTTCTAGACTGTTTAAAATGTATAACGGAGACTTATATGTTACTTTTGAATCCTTGTGAGAAACAAATAAGATTGGAGTCATGATACAGACTCCTGAAAATTTATTCTTTTTATCCTCTTTCCTCATCTGTGACTTGCAATAACAGAAGAAACTTCATTCCTTTTTGTTGTCTGTGGTGCTCTTCTCAGGATTTACTAAATATAATATGTATTCTTTAGGTACAGAACAATTTAAAAATAAGTAACTACATAACACAAAGTAACATCAGACTTTTCATTTTGTTTACTCCAGGGAAAATATTTATCCCCAAGCAAAAGCCTGTACAGTCTTTTGCAGAAGAAAAATTCACTCTTGATCCAGAACTGGAGGAAGCCTTGACCAGTGCCACAGACACAGAATTAGGCGACCTTGCAGGTTAGTTTTTTTTTTTAAGTATGAATGGGCTAGTGCATCTTTAGACAAGAAAGATCTATAATTAACATGGTATTTATCTGACCTCAGGAAGTTGTAGTTGTGATAGAAACTGCATCATGTTATATGCCAGCTTCCTTGTAGCATTTCAACTTTGTTGATTTGTGATAATTTTTAGGAAGGTAAATTATTTTGGCCTGCAAAAGGTACCTGATTTTCAAACTCAAAACCTTTAAATCCATTCCTGAGACTTCCTGGTTTTTGTTGTGTTGGTGTCTGCTTTTTCTTGTGGATGAGGATGTGTTGTTATGTGCCTGTGTTCCTAAAGCTTCATTTTGTGACTGAATGACACTCTTAACTTTGAAGCTGGAACCTGGTGAGGTCAAATTTTTCAAAGATATGAAAACCAACTAAAAAGTCTATAATTAATTTTTTTCTACTTTTAAAAATTATTAAGGTATTGAATGGCTTCTTGTACTGTTAACTGGATGATGTACAGACATCAGTTTTTGTTATTTAAAGGAACCTTCATCTGAGCTGAATTAGTCAGGAACAATAAAAATGCTTTTTTGCTGTTTCTCTGTTTCCTTTTACAGCTATACTGGGGATGTCCAACTTGATAACAAACAATCAGTTCTGTGATGTAGTAGGAAGCAGTAATGGGATTGACAAAGACAGCTTCTCAAGTAAGTGTTTGTATGCAGGTGCTGGAGAAGTTAATTCTTTGCACTGCACACAGTTACTATTGCATTTACTATTTTCTGTTGCACCAACATTCTTTTAGACTCTTTAGTCTTACTCTGGAAATGTGTATGCAATAACATTTGCTAGTTGAGTTCTGGAGTTACAATATATGCACACTAAAATGTCTTCCGAAGTTAAGTCACTTTTTGGTGACAAAAGTAGGCGTAAACATGCATTCTGTGTGTTGATTTTTAGGTTTGATATTTGTGTTTGTAATTCAACTTCCATGTGCTTTCTGAAAAAAGCTGGTGTGCAATAAAAGCAGAAAGGCTATAAAGACCTTTGGAAAAGGATTGAACTTTATGAAGATATTTCAGGAGAGGATGTTGTGCTTTTTGGGTGGGGGAGAGATGTAAAGACTGATGAAATGATCTTTAAATACAATAAATATTTAGTATATGTATCATTTATTAACAGTGAATGTATGCAACCTGTTTGATTACATTTAAATGCCTTACTTTTCAGATATAGTAAAAGGTGAAAAAATGTTGCCTGTTTTTGATGAACCACCAAATCCTACAAATGTGGAGGAGACACTGCAGAGGATCAAAGATAATGATTCTCGTCTTGTTGAAGTTAATCTAAATAACATTAAGGTAATTACCTGAAGCCTGCAGTAAATATACTGCTTTTTCTCAGTAGAAGACACTTAAAGCTGCAAAACTCTCTAAGAGACCATGGGAGGCTTATTTTAAGTCCAGCAGCCTTTTTGCTAAATGTTGTAGTGTGTATAAGCTCAGAAACCTGGAGCTAAACCGATAAGCCGTCTTGGATTCTTTTGCCAAATGTGTGCTTAAAAAGCCTTAGACCTTCTTACTGCCAGCCCAGATTTCTGTTGCTGCCAAGTTGGCAGCAGTTCACTGTTGTGAACTACTTTTTTGAATCCTTTGTCCTTGATGGAGCAATGTGCTCTCAGTTACTGCAATTGCAAACAAAGTTATATTTGTACCTGACATCCTTCTAATTCTTGTACAAAAGAGCTGTTGCTGTTAGGGCAGCTTTTGAGTGTAACAGTTGTGGTTCTAAATATGACAAACTTTTGTATATTTGCTTGAAAGAAAACAGAACTACAGCACTGCTGACTTACAGTGCAGACAGCAGTGACAGCCTTGTCAGCAACCAAGGCTACTTGTTTCACTTATTAAAGGAAGAAAATAAAATACTTGGTTTAAGAATACTGTATGACAGATAAATGCTAGCTAAAAGAGCTGCCTAAAAAGGCAACAGATCAAAATTCCTGATATAATAAACTGAGAAATTTTCTACCCTAATTAATTATCTAAAATTATTCTTTTTAAGCTTGGTTGATACCACACTGTAAAAATTATTGCTTTATAGAATTAGTGACCCTTGTATCCATTGCATCTTTACTGTGAGACTGCTGAAGACCAGTGATAGTTAATATTATAGGACATTTTGCTGTGAAGAGAATAAGATAATGGAGGAAGTTGGGTTGGGGGGGGAACTTATATATCTCAAGAGAGTGAAATGCTATTTTTAATTCAAGAACATACCAATTCCAACGCTGAAAGAATTTGCAAAAGCCTTAGAAACCAACACACATGTGAAGAATTTTAGCCTGGCAGCCACCCGAAGCAATGATCCTGTTGCTGTTGTGAGTATCTCGATAATGTGTTTAAGTGGGGTGCAAGGGAAGTTAGGATGGAAAGGCAGTGATAAGGGATTGAATTTAATCCAGTGTAAATGATTAGGGATGAAAATGATTACGTTCTGTTACACTGTAAAGTATGTTTTCTTTAACAAACTTTGTTGTATTAAAGTTGGTAAATGATTGCTAGCAGACTAATATGCAGCAATGCATCACATGTGTGAGATGACTGAGAATTCTTTTTTCCAGTCCCTTCCCCCTGATTTTTCATTTTGCTAATCTCTTTCCTGTTTTTCTTTCTTTCCTACTTGTTTAGTTCCTGATGTTCATTCCAGTAGCCAATAGTATATTCAAAATTAATTTACAAGAAGCACATTAGAGAACTGAAAAAGCTCATAATATTTTTCAGTGAACTAGAGTTTTAGTTGAAGAAAATTGTAAAACACTTGTTTCTGTGATCTCCCTGTGACCAAAGATTTGCTTAAAGCATTTGTATACAAAGCATAATAATAGTCAAGATATCTAGTTTGATACAGTTGAAAGTAATTTATCATCAGATCTTGGTTTTTTCTATGTTGAATCAAAAACAGTGCCTTATTTATTTGCAAAGAAAGAGGTAAGAAAACAAAACTAATTGTTTTGACAGAACAATCCTTTGCATTTTTTGTTATTTCAAATTAAAAAGGAAACTAGTTTGAAAGACTCCATTAAATAAACAAATGAACATTTGAAAGCTTTGGTTTTGGGTCAGTTAAAAAGTTGCTTTTCAGCAGGAGTGAAACGGAATGTAATAAAAATCTATAAAGGCTTCTTTTCTCGGGTGTGGTTTTTGTTGGGTTTCTTTGCATTGTGACTTGCTAGAAAAAAATGTACAGGGTATGATTTTTATGACAGTGAAGCTCAGCTGTCAGCTATTCTTGTTTTCTTCCTTTCTCAGGAGGAGGATCAGGCATATTTCCATAAAAGTGCTTTTAGCTACATGCTGGTATTGTGCTTGGAGCTTTGAATTTTACCTCTTCCTACCAAATCTGTAGGCACAAGCATTCTGAAAGTCAGATCTCCTGTTTACAAATTAACCATATCCAATTCTCTCAGCTGACTAACGCCCTTTCTTTGGCCTTCACTTAGCAGCTTGCATTACTCATTGTAGGCTGCGAGGGCTTACAAAATGGAATTGGTCCAATATGCTAATTTCAGACAATTTATATTCTGTGTAGCTTTTTAGTTTGTAACAAGAGAAAGACAGACCTTTTCTTGACTCAGTACTATTTAAAAAGGGAATGTAGATAATGCCTGGTTGAAGATTCAGTTCAGTCTCAAGTGAAAGCTTGCAAAGTTACACCATGTACTGGTGAACGTGTTGCTCCTATGGAAATGATGATGCCTATGTCCTATGATGTACTGCAGAAAAATTCAAAAGTTTAATGATACTTTCTTACATTCAAAGGCTCTTGCAGATATGCTGAGAGTAAACACAAAATTAAAAAGTTTAAACATAGAATCAAACTTCATCACTGGAGCTGGAATCCTGGCACTGGTTGATGCACTGAAAGACAATGAAACATTGACAGAGATCAAAATTGATAATCAGGTAAGTGAGGTGGTGGTGGTGATATCATAGCTAAAACCAGCCAGTCCTAGTTGACTGAATATTTTTAGTAGACAGCTTGTGATAAACTTTTCAAAGTATTTTATGTTTAATTATCTTAACACCATCAATAATTGCCCTTAAGATTCTTGGCAGCATGCATCTGAAGTTGATTCCAGGTCACTTCTGTGCTTCCTGGTGCTTTGAAGTGCACAAACATATCTTGTGACCTTCTGCCTATTTGATTAATCATAATGAAGCTGAGTGTTTATTGACTGATTTGGTTAAAGTATTCTGATCTCTTTGAGGGTGAACACACATAAGCTCTGTTGTCTTTGTGGACCTTTTATTTTAACAGAGGCAGCAGCTGGGCACACTTGCAGAAGTAGAAATTGCCAAGATGCTTGAAGAAAACACCAAGATCCTCAAATTTGGATACCATTTCACACAACAGGGACCTCGAGCCAGGGCAGCTGCAGCTATCACAAAAAATAATGATTTGGGTAAGACCTGTCAGTAGAGACTGACTATTAACTGAGTGTGTGTATGGCACAGGCTACAAAGGTGTCTGCTTATTCTGCTTCTCCCTTGACAAAACCAGAATAGCACAATGTTACATCAGTTTCAGGTTTCTCCTGTGCTGAACTCCTACTCTTTTGTTGCTGCTTGATGTTCTCTATTTTGTTGCAGGGTGTTTCAGGTGTATGAGTTGAGGATTTTTAACATAGTCTAGAACAAGAACATTCAAATTCCATGTGAGTTGTGGCAAAAGGAGTGAAAATAATAGTTTTGAGTGTTCAGTTTTATTCAGATAAGATTCATTGCTTCTTTAAAAGCAGTATTGGAAATGAACAGCGTAGCATGCCCTGTTGAATGCCAGTACACCCAGTCTCATCTGGAATGCTTAGGCAATGAAACCAAACATCCTGTCACATGCAGAGGGTGGGACTGGATCATCTCTTCGGGTCAGGCACAATCACCATCCCTGCCTCTCCAGCTGGTAGCAGTGGCATCTTTATTTGCTGCAGTCAGTTTTGTTGGAGCTCATCTGTTAGAATCCTAACTAAATGGGTCAGCAGAAAATTGGTTAATAATATAGCACATGAATGGAAATCGTTTGTGTAATGTCAAATACTTGAAGCACTCAACTGCAAGATGATGTGGTCCATCTGTTTAAATAGAATTGCATTTTAAAACTCTACTTAATTAGATCTTCTGTCTTTAGATGTTTTGTGGTAAAGATTATATGTCTCATCAGCATGAAAATGGGCCAGGCTGTTTAGTAGTAGTAGCAGTAGTTCAGGAATATATTAGAGGGAATGACACAGGAAATTGGACTTTGGTTTAAAGATCTGCTTCCCCTCTGAGTAAAGGTTAAAGTGGAGGAGAACAGCTCTGAAAGATATGGAGGAGGAGTAACTAGAATAGAGCACAGAGAGAGAAGAAAGGCAGTAGGACACTCTGTAACTGTTTCTCAAAACAGATTCTAACCAGTTATTTTTTTGTCATAATGCTTCAGGTATCTCTTTACTTTCTAAGGTTTCTCTTCTCAGTAGTTCTCTAGTTAGTATTTGAGTGTTGTGAATCTATTTTTCTATTGATATTTTGCCTTTTTTTTCTTTGCTTTCTTAGTCTGGAGTATGTGAGTAAAAGTTTCTGCACCTTTTCACCTCTCCAGCCGTGACGCTACAGAGACAGGTCACTCTGAATACCCAGCTGGGCATTCAGCACTGAAACTGAGATATTCCAAGTCTCTCATCTCTGTCTTTGTACGTTCCTTCCAAAAAGACAGTCTGCATCTACATCTTCTTTCTTGCTTACACTGTGTTGTACCACTTGCCTGCTTTTTGTCTGAAACTGTATCTGTTGCTTTTAACTGCATGATTGGAGAAGTCTAAGATTGGGAATTCTTTCCTCTGTTCTTGCCATTTGATGAAAGTGGGTGTGAATAACTTCTGTCACCTTACTTTCCAGTGAGTGGCTTTGAGAACAGAATCGCTTTCTTTGTGTATAGGTGTGCTTGCTAGACTTTTAAAAATAAAATGGAGGTGCCCTATATAATTTGTAAGACCCATAGCCATGTCTGTGTCTGCACAGAAAAGGAAAACATCATTTGATAGGGTGAAAAGAAAATGGCAAAAATAATATAAATATTGAGGAAAACTCCAGTCATTCAGTCAGTCTTGTGTATTCTCAAGTCTAAATAGCATGTGAGCTTTTAGTGATTTTATTCACAATTTTTTGTTGCTCTTGCATTTTCTAACAATTGAATGTTTTTGTTAATACATGGAATGTTTTAGGCTATTGAATGTAATATCTTCTGTGTGTGTATAAATTGTGTTAGATATCCCGTGAAGCTCTTGTATTGTTTCCTTTGAAGCCACATAAACCTAATTTAGCACTAGAAAACTGCAATGAAAAAAAAGAATACTGGCTAAATCTGCTTACCAGACATAAGATGATTAATGTTTCCCACAAGTCTTTCCTTGCAACTGTTTTGTGAATAAGGCAATAAGCACTGCCAAAGCATAAGCTTAAAATGATGGATCACATCAAGTGTTCATTACCTGAAGTTGAAACCTCAGGTGGCAAAGTAAAGGCTCACGTTGTAAAAATACAGAAAATGGTTACAACGATAAAACAGCACAACTTTTTTTTCTCTCTTTTTGCAGTTCGCAAGAGAAGGGTTGAAGGAGACAATTAGCAATCCTGCTGTCAAAACTCGGCGGAGTCATCACGGTCAGCACTGTGGGCTTTGGCAATCTTGGACTACACTGACTTGGCTTAGAAGGGAAAAGACTGGAAACCCCATTCCTTTTAAAGCAAAGCTATATAATGTGCTGGTATGCATCACGTTTTTCATGGAGACACAGTAACTGCACCAGTCTCTCTACCTTGGTTTTTGACTGGGTGTTTTTTTTAAGAACTTTTTTGTATTTCAAGACTTCGGCTGAGCTTTCTACTTAAAATGTAATTGCAAATCAGTGGTATAATTGTCTGTAGTCAAAGAATGGGACATTTAAGGTCATTGGGAAGATAATGACCCAATTGAAATGGTTTTTTTTAGAAAATCCGGGGGCGCTTATTTACGTGGAGGGGTGTGTATATTCCTGAAAACAATGAGTTAGTGATAAGGGATTCTTCACCCAACAGCTGGACTCATTGTGTAGAGTTGTTCAGCTTTGTTCATATGCACTGAAGAGAAATCTTTCACAGCAATGTTATTTGTAATTCTACTGTTTTATTTTTTATTAGTTCTTGATACTGTGAGTAAGTTTAAAGACATCCCTTTAAGGCAAACATAAATAAATTGGCTAAGGACTTCTCCCAGGAGATTAGAGGGACACATACAAAAGACTTGCAAAAAAAAAGGAATAAAAAATGAGGAACCTTGCAAAATGACAATTTTTTTTATTACACCTAAATCCTTTAAGTCTTTTTCAAAAGTGTCTTGCTCTGTATCTGAACTGGATATATTTTTAGACTGATTTCATGTGTTCATCGGCATTAGTTTATATTATTTGTTTAAAATTCCTTATCTACATTCACAAGTATCAATTTCTCTAGAAGTAGTGGACATGCATATTTTAAATTCTGCATAACTGTACAGGAAAAGCAGCCTTAAATGTAAAACCACTGACCTAAATTGCTAGCAAATGAAAAATCCTTTATTTCAAGCTGTTGTATTAAGCTATTTGTACTTCATATAAATCTATCATTTTTTAATACTGAAGTAACACTGTTGAGAAAGGATTTTTCTATTTTACTTATGTCTCAGTGTTGGAACACTACCTAAGACATGCGAAAATCAATCAATATGTAGTGTCAGATCTGTATGGTATAGTAATTATTAAAGTATTTAAAGTTGTTTAAACAAATTATTAAGGCAACAAGAATCACTTCAACTTCTGCACATAATCACAATACACTTCTTTGAAATAATATAAAAATCTAGAGGCTTGGTGTAGGTCTGCTTGGACTGTCCTGTACTAGTTTGCTTTGAGGTCACAAAAATGTTCTAAAGGACTGCTTGGCTATATTTATAGCAACAGAGAATTCAACTGACAGCTCTTTCCATTCAAAGATCCTAATGTGGTGAACTTTTATGTATAGAAAACATATTTACATGGAGGGGACTGAGATGTTTGCAACAGGTTGTATATACCATAAAAACTTAACAGAGCAAGTCTCTGACACTGTGCCCACAATTTGCTGCAAATCTTGTTTTGGGTCTTTAAAGACAGACTTTATTCCAGAGGTGACTTCAAATTTTACTGCAACTGTGCAGAGAATATTAAACTATAGTGCCTTCAGTGGGGATGTACATAACTGGTTTATACTTGTGGAAGAACTTTTTTTTTCCCCTATTTCAAAATCAGCCTTTTGTTAGAATTACAAATAAATATATGCTCTGAAAAACAACTTTGAATCAATTCTGTTAAAACCAAAGATTATACTTACTATAACCTTGAAACAACTAGGAGTGATCTGATGAGTAACAAAAGGGCTTCTTTTGGTTTTATCTTTTGTAAATTTCCGAGAACTTCATAGATTTTGAAATTTAAGTTCCCATACAGTGTGCATAAAGTCACATTTAAGTGTCTTTTTACAGACAGTGCTGTATAAAGATGGCCAAAGCATGTCATGTGCTGAGTTGCCTAAAGCTGTACTTTACTTTTTATTTGCTAGGCACCATAGTAATTTTGTGTCAAAAAACAGGCTCTAATTTCTTCCTTCATTTGTTGAAGGGCTGCCATATTCACAGAATCTGTTCACGTACTGTGATTCTATGATGACTTATTTTATCATTATCTAACAAGATTAGACAGTTATCTCCTACTTGAAAATTAAGGAGAAAATTGAAAGGCTGGATTATGGAAATGATAGCCCAAATCCCTTCCTTATTTTTTAAAATCAAATTTAGCTGTTTAATTATTTACATCCTAATCAAAGGCAGGGGCTTTTAAGCTGCAGCTCTCAGGTGTCCTGTCACCAATGATAGTAGTGGACCTTAATACTTGGTTTAGCTCTGTAGACAAAATAGGTAAGAATTTGACTTTGTCAGCACTTTCAGGACAGGAATCTGACAGACTGGGTATAGAAAACTGTTTTGTTGTTGCAGTCAACCAGAAGGGTTTGGCTGTCCAAAATGTTGCAAGACCTTTGGCATGGTGCATGGAACGATTAACAACAATTGTGCCTACGATGTGTGTATCCTGTTTGAAATAAATGAAGGAATTCAGTCTGTAGCCAGGAATCCTACAGGGTCTCAGCAAACCAAGTGGACACTGATGTAAGTGCTGTCAGGGGTGGTGAGATCCTGTGGATGACTCCGTTGATTCTGAGTGAAAGAGTGGTGTTACTCTGATAACCACTCTCACCAGAAACACAAGGTCTTTTTTCTAAGAGATGATATTTTTTTCATATGGATTGTTTTTAGCCTTAATGGACAGGTCAAATGATTGGATCTATTGATTCTGTTGGTTCCCAGCTAAGCATGGAAACAGCGCCTATATTTCAAAGCAATTATCTATTTACTGTTGTATTTTAAAGAAATAGCATCATTCTCTCTACAGCTTGAGTAATCCTGTGTTTGTAAGCTACAAACAAGCAAGTGTTCAATTTAAATTTCCATTGGGGAAACATGCATTGAGTGTTTTAGCCTCTCAGCACTGTATGCTGTCAGACTGTAAACCAGTAAAAGTTTTGGATGATTAAAGTACTGTATTCTTGTTGCGGTTTTGGGGGTTTGTTTGTTTACTTTTTTAAATAGTACAGTGTGACTTGCTTAAAAACTGACCCGTGCGTTTATGTTGTGTCAAAGCAGTACCTTTCCTTCTCCAGAAGGAAGGTGAGTGGAGTGACCCCGGGCAGTATCGTGACACCATATCGTGACACCCGTTCGCTCCGTACAAGGGGCGAGAGGCCGCTCTGTGCAGCGGCGTTTCTGCCCCAGGGGGGAGGTGTCAGGGCGGAGGTGGCGGCGGCCGAACACGATCCCTTTCCTTGACTCGCGGCGCGGCGCGTCCTCCCCTCCCTCGGGCGCCTCAGCCCGCGGGGACGCGGCCCCTTTAAGGGGCGGCGCCTCAGCCGCGGGGCGGGGCCGCGCTCTCGGCGCTCGCCGTGACGTACCCGCGCGCGCCGGCGGGGCCGCGCCGCCGCCGCCATGGCCGACATGGCGGACCTGTTCGGGAGCGACGCGGACTCGGAGCCCGAGCACAAAGGTGCGGGTCTGTCCCCTCCCGGTCGCCCCTCCGTCCCGCACGGCCGCCCGCCCGCCCCGCATCGCCCCTCGCTCGTCACCCGGGCCTGGGCGGGAGGCAGGGAGGGGCCCGCGGCAGGAGCGAGGCCGGCGCGGAGCCGCGAGCCGAGGGGTCGGTGCCTGTAGGGGAGGGAACGCGGGAACACGCTTCAGTCCTTAGCGTGTAGTCAGAGAACTTGTCTCCGTTCTTGTAAATCGCTTTTCGAGGCGGATGTTCTTTTATTTTCCTGCTCGAAACGGCGTTTACCAGCCTCAGCATTGACGAGGAGCTCCAGTGGCACAAACGTGCCCGGGTACATGACTTAAATTAAACACATGGTGACTGTTTTGAATTTGCAGACTATCATAAGCCACGTATATGTAGTTAGTTGTTTAAGCCTTCGTCATTTTAATAATATTATTTACTTTTGTGTAATTCCTTATTCCTTCTACAGTTTCAGCGTCTTAACACATAGCTCGTGGCTTGAAATGTCATGTGGCATCATTTTTCATTGTGTCTTTCTTCGGCTGTGCCTTTATTAGCAGACATTTTATTTTACTTGGTAACTTCTGTCAGTCCTTCTTATAGTTCTCTGCGGATTCTGTTTGGGTTGGTTATGGGAGGTCTTTTTAGTGTTAAAGGAATACCCATCTTGTGTACATCCTTGTAGGGACATCCTGACTTTTGAAAGGGTGATGTTTGTTTTGCAGATTCCGATTCTGGATCTGATTCAGATTCTGACCAGGAAAACGCTGGTTCTGGTAGCAATGCCTCTGGAAGTGACAGCGACCAGGATGATGACAGGGAGGCAGTAAAACCCAGTAATAAGGAGCTATTTGGAGATGACAGTGAGGATGAAGGAGCATCCCACCACTCGGGGAGCGACAACCACTCTGAGAGGTCCTACAATCGCTCCGAGGCCTCGGGGCACTCTGAGCATGAGGACAACGACCAGTCGGATGGGGACCAGCACAGCGCCTCAGAAGCTGCCCATGACGACGACGAGGATGAGCGTGATCATGGCTCAGATGAAGGCAGTCACCACTCAGAGGGAGATGGTTCTGAAAAAGCACATTCAGAGGACGAGAAGTGGGGCAAGGAGGACAAAAGCGATCAGTCGGACGATGAGGAGAGGCAGCAGAACTCTGATGATGAGGAGAGACAGCAGAACTCTGACGATGAGGAGAAGGCACAGAACTCGGATGAGGATGAAAGACCACAGGTGTCTGATGACGAGGAAAGACTCCAGAACTCGGATGAGGAGAAAATGCAGAACTCCGATGATGAGGAGAGGCCACAGGCCTCGGACGAGGAGAAGATGCAGAACTCGGATGATGATGAAAGGGCCCAGCGTTCTGATGAGGAGAAGATGCAGAACTCTGATGACGAGGAGAGGGCCCAGCACTCTGATGAGGAGGAGCAAGAGCACAAATCCGGTAGGACTGTGTACAGAAGTAATGATTTGCTGCTGGTTTGGTCTCTTGTTTTGTTTGCATTGGCCTGAAAAGATTCAAACTTCAGTGTAAAGGCAGTAATTGTGTAGCTTTCAACTATAGTCATCTTTGTAATGCTTTTTTTATGCAGCAATTTTAAATTCCTTTTCATCTGAATCAGCTTATTAGTACAAAGGCATTTTAAAGTTTGTGGAGCAAAGTTTTTAATTTGCTGAGAATAATTATGCTCCTTGGTAGAGTCTGCAAGGGGCAGCGACAGCGAAGATGAAGTTCTGCGAATGAAGCGAAAGAAACCGATTGCATCAGATTCAGAAGCGGAGAGTGATACAGAAGGGCAGAAAGGTAAACTGTGGTATTGTTTTGTGGGGGTTTGATTCCTTTAATCATCGCCTTGAGGTGCCATTCATCTGCTCCAGGATAGAATTGGTAGCACTTGCTGTATGCATGCACTGTGGTGCCATGGAAATAATGAAACAGCAAGAATTCTTTGTGGGGAGGTACCCGCTGTACTTCTGATTCACTCTGGTTAGTTCTGTCAGCTTTTCAGCTTCCTCCATGAACTTTTCTTTTGTGAATGTTCTTTCACATGTTAAGAAATGGTTCCTTTAATCAGAGCAGCCCAGGGAAGCTGTTCTGGTTTTTGTGATGGGTTAGCTGGCTGAGAAAGAAGTGTTGATTTTGTAAGAATTAAAACCTCCAAAATGTGTAATGGAGTTGCTGTTACTTATATTCATGTTACTTGAATAAGGATTATGTTACACTCTTCTGTTGCAGCTTTTCAGCTAGATTCCCTTATTTGATAGAGCCTTCCCAGGAAAACATACCTTGAATCCTTAGCTTAAAAATACATGGGGAAACTGTTTTTCTGGGTAAGGGAATAATGTGGGCTCCATAAACATTTGAAATTTTTAACCTTTGTAGGTGATTTTAAGTGTTAGTAAGAGTGAGGGATTTGGTAACCTTTTTTTTTTCTGTGAGTGTTCTTGCATTAGGGCTGTGTGTGCACATATATGTGTGTTTTAAAATAGCAATTTTTCTGCTCAAGAGCATGCAGATGTCATGGATCTGTTTGGAGGTGCAGATGACATTTCCTCAGGGAGCGATGGAGAAGACAAACCACCAACCCCAGGACAGCCTATTGTGAGTAGACTTGACTTTTGAGATAATGAACACACCATTCCTCTCTGAAATGGAGAACACCCGTTGAATTTGATAATATTTGAGTGAAAATTACATTAAGTAAGCATTACAGATAATTTTGCCCCAGTGGAAAGAATTATTAAAGTTTTATACATAACTACCAGATGGATTAATTTGTCTGCCTTCCCTCATCCCTGCTTTGCTTTATGGGTAGTTTTGATTGACATC